CATACTCTACCCAAGAGCCTGATCAAGTTTACCTACTTCATAAATACTAACAGGGAGGGACAGGAACCCCAAGGTCAGTAAACAGGATCAAGAAGAACAAAGACACCTGCCTGAAATGATGCCCTGCTAAGACATAACTGTCCTGAGAGAATCTATCATCTATCATTCCAACCAAACAAACTAGGGCAACTCCATCCTGAATTCCCAATGTGGTTGCCATGGTTTTTAGACAAAGACGACAAGGCTGCATTCCAATTATACCCTATTCAATGACAGACAACTGAAAAATAGAAAATGGGGCAATAAAATCTTGGGTCACCCAGAAGAGAGGTGATGGGTACAAGTGACATGGCAGTGAGACACAAGTTTATGCTTGCTTGAAAAGGTACCTTTGTGATTTGGAACGCAACAGTGTCATCCACAGAGTCTTCAGTTTCTCAATAGCAGTTTTGCTTGTCAGCCAGCCCATTACCCAAGGACATCTCTTATTAGAAATTCTCTCAACATTTTAAACTTTAAGCATTCAACTCTTAAGAGAGTATCGGAAAAATGTCTTAAACTAAAAAAAATAAATGTACTCTTTCAGGTCTGGTAAAAATAACAAATAGATCAATATAATGTTTTTATAAATACGGTGATCAAATATAGTGTTCTATCTTAAAATGCTTTATTTATGTATTTACTGCGGGCCAGCTGGACTGCAACGACTAAGTAATGTTCTTGTTTTCTCCTCCTATCTCACCATAGGAATTCTGGGCTTGCCCATGTACACCACTGCATCCAGCTCTTTAACCTGCCTTCCAGGTCATCAACTGCATCTACGGGAGAACTCCGAGGCTACAACACTGACAATGAAGTTAAGGATGTGGGTGCATAAGGATCGGATGTTATCTTCGTTACTTTTCTATTGCAGAGATGAAACACCATGAGCAAGGTAACTTATGTAGGAAAGCATTTAATTTGGGGCTCACAGTTCCGGAGAGTCACGGTGTGGAGCATGGCATCAGTCAGGCGGATGGGCCTCTGGAATTGTAACTGAAAGTTTATATTTACTCCACAAGCACAAGGCAGAGAGCCAACTGGGAATGGTGTGAGTTGACACACCTTCTTCAGCAAGGCCAGATACCCCAAAACCCCCTGAGAGACTGGGTAACAAGGAGGCCCCAAGGAGGCGCATTTCTCTTGGAACGGGAGAGAGAAGAGATCTCCTGGGTAGAATAGGATGGAAACAGGAAGGATCCGGCTGTGGAGTGGATGGAGAGTACTGAAAGAGATGTACTGGTATGAGAGGTATTTTGGGTTCAGGTAAAAATTTGGTGCAAGGGAAACTCCAAGGAATCTACAAGGATGACCCCAGCTAAGAATCCTAGCAATAGTGGTTATAGAGCCTAAACTGGCCTTCTTTTGTAATCAGATTGGTGACTACCCCAGTTGTCATCAGCGAGCCTTCATCTAGTAACTGATGGAAACAGATACAGAGACCCACAGCCAAGCACTGGACTGAGAGTAGGGAATTCTGTGGAATAAATGGAGGTAGGATTGTGTGAGTCGGGACCGGGGGTTAAGGACATTATAAGAGAACCCACAGAAATAACTAACTTGGGCTCATAGGAACCTCCAGAGTGTGGGCCGACACCTAAGGAACCTGTATGGGACAGACCTAGGCCCTTTACATATATTTGACATATAGGTAGCTTGGTCTTCTTGTGGGATTCCTAGCAGCGGGAGTAGGTCTTCTCCCTAACACTTTGGCTGGCTTTTGGAACCTACTCCTAAATACTGGATGCCTTGTCTAGGTTTAATACAAAGGAAGGAGGTCAGTCCTATCTCAACTTGATATGCCGTGCTTTATTGACATCCATGGGAGGCCTGCTCCTTTCTGAACAGAAACAAAGGAGGAGTGGGTGGGAGATGGAAGGGAGGTAGACGGGAAGGAATGGAAGGAGAGGAGGGAGGAGAAATTGAGGTAGGGATGTAAAATAAATAAATAAATTGAAAAAGAAAAACCCAACCAACCAACTAGGCCACCAATGAACCAAACAAAAACCAAAAAGAACAACAACAACAACAACAAAAACAACAAAAAAACCAAAAAAAAAAAAAAAAAAAAACAACCAACCAATCAGCCAACCAACCAACCAACCAAACAACCAAACAAATAAAAGAAACCCAAGGCTGGATTGCTCAGTCCTTTCCAATTAATTCCTCCATCTGGGGACCAAGTATTCAAATTGGAGTCATTCCCATTTAAACCGCCCCAAGTATTGTCATATTGTCATTTTCGTTGTTTTTCTTTTCTTTTCTTTTCTTTTCTTTTCTTTTCTTTTCTTTCCTTTCTTTTTCTTTTCTTTTCTTTTTTCTTTTTACTTCCTTCCTTCCTTTCTTCCTTCCTTCCTTTCTTTTTTTTGCATGGCAGTCTTATCAATGAAGCTGACCTGTTGATCCCTAAGTGGTAATGGATAATTATTTAATCTCTACCAAATCATAGCTTCCTGAAAGCATAGTCTCTATTTAATCTTTAAAACATAAAGAAACCCCTCGTCTGCCATGTAGTGCGTTGGTGAGGGAAAGATATCCTTCCCCACTCTGCCTCTTGCTCCCTCCAGCAGGCAGGAGAACAGGCCCTGGGGTCACAGAGTGAGAGAATTAGCCTTGCCCCTCACCAGCTGCAGCTCTCAGAAGAGCAAGCCCTGCAGCCCTGGACAACACAGTAGAGTTGACCCTGTTGTCAGGGATGCCAGTGAACCAGCTCTAAGGGCTTGAGAGCAGAAGAGATACCCGGCTCCCCATAGTCCCGTACAGCAGTAGGAAAAACAGGATCTGCATCCTGCCTGGGCAAAAGAGTAGAATTGGCCCTGGTGGGATATGTGGGTGACTTGGATCTGAGGATCTGATGGCGGGAGAACTGGCCTTGTTCCTTGCTTCAGGTTGCTTTGGGTGAGCTAGCCAAGGCAATGCTGAAGAGCTTACCAGGGTAGTCATAATGAGGGAAACCTGGCAGGCTGACCAACCCAGCTACTACCCAGGCCCAGAACCAGGGCTATGAGTTGGTTCGCCCCAACATCCATGGAATCTATGAATTGTTGGAGCACGTGAAGGGGACGAACCTACAGATCCCAAACAGCAGGATCTCCATGATACAGGACAACAGCATGATATCCAAGAAGAGTGCCAGTGAGAGCCATTATCAGTGGTGGAGCAGAAACTGGCCTGGAACCAGACCTATATGACTCCTGGCAATGGACACTTGCAAGTAGAGAGGAATGGTCTAAAGGGACAGGTGTGACTCAACGGGCCACACTACAGCATCTGTGACAAGAGCCTTCTCCTTTTTTTTTTTTTTCTTTTAAATTTGGTTTTGTTTTAGGGGAGGTTGCAAGGATATGAGTGACAAGGAGATGCATGGGATCAGAATGCATGATTGTGAAATCCACAAAGAATCAATAAAATCTCAAAACAAACAAGCAAACAAACAAAACCCCCAAACATAAACAAGTAAACAAAAAACCTAAAGAAAGCTAATCGAAGAAAATCTGCACGCGTCAATTTCTTCCTTGTCATTCCAAAGACAATGGAATAACATGACCCCTTCTAAGATTACTTTTTAGAATCAGCTAATACAAAATATTCATTCAGCATTTGGCTTGTAGCACTAAAAATGTAGCCATGCTGCTGTGAATTGTTAGTTCTCCACTAATTGTTCTACAACAACAGAGACGTACAGTGACTGCCCAAAGACACTGGCAAATCCAAAGGCTTGAAACAGCGCAAACAATAATCTTAGATGCAAAATTATATGTTTGAATGGGTAAAAATATACCAATTTAGTAAATGGTTTGTAAAGGTGGGAGGAAAAATTCTAGGTGTCCCAAAGCCTACAATGGCGTCTCTGCTTCTTTTGAGAATATTTGTTCTCTGACTCCTTGAGGAAAAGCATAATGTTCTATTAATACTTAGTGTTATAATCTCATCAAAATCACTCTTAAGTCTGAATATTGTAGCTGGGTTCTTATGTTTGTCTTTCATTAGATTCAGGGTATACTTCTTTTTGCAAGGAACACTGGTTAGACTTTGTTTTTTAAATATATTTTATATATATTATATATATTTTATTATATATATTTATATTTTTCATCTCTGTCCTTCTTCTATCTCAACTATCCATTCTCTCAGGTTCTCCTCCCCCCTCCACTTCTCCCCTCATCTTCCCTTTCCGCCCTCCCTACTCCCCTCACCTCCGTGCTCTTAATTTTGTCAGGCGATCTGTCTATTTTCCCTTCCCACGTGGATCTATGTATGTTTTTCTTAGGGTTCACCTTGTTCCTTAGCTTCTCTAGGGCCGTGAACTAGCAACTGACTTTGTAATGGAAGTAGTCACCAGGACTGGCTTAGGTTACACATCTCCATACGGCAATGTCAGCCTTTGCTTCTATACAAACAAGGGTTAAGACAAAGGCTGGGTGGGCAGATTACTGTAGGTTTGAGGTTATATAATTTCAGACTGGCTTATATAGTTTCAGGCTGACTAGGCTCAAGACCCTGTCTCAAAATAAAATTTAACAATGGCCTTCAATTTGTCGTTGATATTTTAAAATTAAATTCGTTTTCAGTTCCTGGAATTTTGAAATAACTGGTTGAGAACAAAATCTGAGTTACTCCCTCTTGTTTGAACATGAAAAGCAAAACCTTGATTTCTCTCTCCCTTCTTCAGCTTTACTCTTCTGCCTGTTAGACTGCAAGCACTCCAGGATAAATCCCTTTGCCAGAAGAGCAGCAGAGGTAGGTGGGAAGAGCTGTTCACCTATAAACAGGAGTTGAATGGTTTCTTTTTTCCCAGAGCATGGCTGTGACTCACTATAACATTGGGAGGAAGTTGCTTCTCTTCCATAAGTTCCCTTGGGAGGAGTAGCTCCAACTAACAACACAGATTGCAAAGCCAAACGACGCCCTCTCTCAGAACTGTCTGTGAATATGTAGTTAGGACAGTCTGGCTGTCTTACCTTAAAAGAGATTTCATACTGCTCGCCTCCCCAGATCTCTAAGCCTGGGTCGTAGCCACCTAGTTCCCAAAACCACTTTCGATCCACTGCGAAGAGACCTCCAGCCATAACAGGAGACCTGGGAGACACAAGATAGACAATATTTAAGGGATTATGAACACCGAAGACAGTAGGATTTTGTTTTGAAATGGAGAATCTGATTTAATGGTCAAGGTGTGTTCTTTTTCAGCATGGTTTTCTCTAAGCAAATGTAGAATTTCTACTGCATTTCCTATTGAAGTGGAGATGGGGAAAGAATCTGTGTGAATATTAAACTTTGCAATCCAGGTTTTCACACAGCAAAGGTCCTTCAGAATCACACTTGGCCACCTGCTTTTTGTCACAGAGAAATACATTAATATAAGTGACTGATACATTGGGAAATATTACTCAGTCTTATGGCTTTTTCTTAAGTCGAGAGAGATCTTTTCCTGTTGGACAGAACGGTAGTGAAAATGTAATCTCTGACATGCTTTTATTCACTGGGCATCTGTCTACCTATAGTAATGTCCTATTTAGAGGCAATGAAAAAGAATATAGGGTAAAATAAGATTTTAAGACAGAATGTTGATTACGTGTGCGTTCTACGTATGGGTATATACACGTGAGTGCTGGAGCTTGGGGGTGTCCAGAAGAGGGGTCAGACTCCATGGTACTGGAATTACAGGTGGTACTGAGCCTGTTGATAGGATTCTGGGAATTGAACTCTGGTCCTCTGAAAGAGTAATAAGGGCTCTGAACTGTTGACCCTTTTCTCTAGCCCAAGGAAAATATTTCTGAGGGTGTAGGTTTTACATGATTGGTAAGATCAAAGATCTGGAAGAGTGGTTTATCTATTGTCCCCAGGAAAGTGTTGAGGTGGGGAGCCTACAGAATCTCATGCAAGATTTGTGTTCTCTTAGAAATAGCATTTTTACAATCAGGTGTCATTAATCCATTCTGTTCCTTCCCTATTTTCTGCACACAACATTTCAAAGTGGATGTAACATTGCAGTTGGAGCAAATCAAGTTGTAGCATTTACTGGGTGCAAATTCCCAGTGACCACACGGCTATAGCTGTGACCTTTGCTGGGTTATATGTCCCTAGCAGTTTCGAATTTTAGAGATATTGGGAAAAATGATTCTGAAATTAATTATTTAATTATAAATAGTTTTGTTCCGAGCACAAAAATCTTGTTCAAAAATGATCTTATCAACAATTTGAATAGTATATTTTAGGTTAATCCATTTATAAATTAAATTCAAATGGAGCCATCAATTATCGAGAGTATTGAAATTTATGAGGGCAATTCTATATTTATTTGTTCTTGGTGTTCTATCAGTTTTCTTATGCCACGTTTTTGTAGCTTTGTTAATAGTGCAGAAATATTTAGACTTTTTGTGCTTTTGATGAATTGCCTCATTATACCTAGGAAATGGCTTTTATTATTTCTGGCGATGTTATTTGCTCTATCATCTATTCTGGGTCATTATTATAATCATTCTGGTTTCCTTGTGTTCTCCAACTCTAGTATTTATAACCTTTTCTGTCTTTTAACCTTCTAACCATTTGTGTATTCATGCATAACGTAGGTTTCTGAGTTGTTAATGTAGCTTTGTAGCTTGGGTGGAGGTGTAGCATGCATGAAGTCTGGGGCTGGGTTCTCAGTGCCATCTCCAGTCACAGCACTTGGGAGGTGGAGGCAGAAGGATCAGTTCACGCTCTTCCTCAGCTATGTAATGGGTTTAGGTCAGCCTGGCCTCCATGAGACCCCTTCTTTTCTGTTTCCCTGAAAAAGTGAGTTTCTTACAAGTGGCACATATACGCACCTTGCTTTTCAATTGGGTCATTTAGATGCTTAAAAAACCATGATTGATGTGGTTACATTTAAACCTATTATCTCCCATTTTTTCTGTTTGTATCAAGTGTGTTTCTATGTCTTTCATTTGTCTTCTTTTGATGAACTGAAGCCTTTGTAAACAGCTTTCTCCTTCTTTCTCCAGTTTCTATACTGCTATACATTTCTCTACGTGCTGTGACACCCCACATTGTAATGCTCGTATTCTGAAGTAATTATACTTTGAAGATGTTTCAATAGTAAAATTCCATCATGAACAGTATGCACATACATGAACAACACATGAAATACACACACCTAAACAAACAACACAGAAATAATGTTAGGAGCACCACTTTTGTTTTTTTGTTGGCTTTAAATAGTCCCAGAGAAAAGTCTGTAGGCCTGAGACTGTGAATTGAACTTCAGATCCAAAGTTGTTGATTCTGGGCAATGTTGCACCAAAGCAAAAGAACTAAGGTAGGGACCTCCTGCTTCATTGAACAGTAAAGAGTTCCGTGTGCCATATCGTCTTCTTCCTCAGAAAAGAAGTTAGTGCTCCTGCACTAAACTATTTTCTGCATGTTCTTCTGCTCTGTTTTTATTTTAAGTAAAAACTGGTCCCTCAGAACTCCCTGCTAGTCCCATTCCTCACAGTTTCTCACCAACCTGTCTGCTTCCTGCCTGATTTCTTCGGAGCCTCCTTTCCGTTTTGTTTCCCTGGGAACGTGAACACACTGTAGGCATGGCTTGTGGCTCTGTGTCCGCGTGGCACATGACTGCTGCTTATGAGCACTGTTCACAGTGTCCCAAGTCAGTCCCTGGGCTTTGCAACTAAAAACATGTGTCGTCCCTGGGATGACGTCTAAAATTAAGTGGCCAGGAGGAGTCCTTATTTTCAGGCCATAGAAATATGTGACCATTCTGCATACTTAATGGAAGTCAATTGTCTATTCCCTACCAACTTTATTGAGGCATGTAATAAATATGCTTTCCCTTTTACATATGGCTAGATAGCTTCCTGTTTCTACAGTATTTTTTTTTAATGCTCCAAATTTGGTTCGCTTTTAAATTGTTGAGGCCATCATGTAAACGTTTCCTGGGACCATTCTTTCCTTGGCAGCAGTGACAAACTCTGTGTCTTGCTTGTAGATGCACGTTTGACAGCACGCGGCTGGCTGTCCCTTCTAAACTAGGACATATTCTGAATGCCATGTCTCTATGAGAAGGTGCCAAACTATCTATCTATCTATCTATCTATCTATCTATCTATCTATCTATCTATCTATCAATCAATCTCTATTTCATGGCTTGATTCTTTACTTCATATATTCAGAAAAAATGGTGACGTTTTAATTGAAACATGCTTTCTCGGGGTCCTTTTTTTTTTAACCTCAGTTCTCAAATTTTCAGGCATGTAAAGCATGATTTCAGATTTCAGCACATGCCACATAACCTTCTGGGTTAGAGAAATGAAAGCGTACAAGATACTGAGAAATCTATGCAGGAGAAAAATGTTTTGAAACATGCTAACGTTTAGAATTCAGGCGCAGTAATGTGCAGGAAATGTCCGTTCGGCCCCTCAGGAAATGAACTGGCTCTCGGCTCTCTTTCATTTCAGTGGATACAGTGACATTTCTGGACACATGAGCTGCAGTGTGAATTTGATCAGAACTGAAGCGACACAGCTTCCCTCAGGACTTAATCAAGCCAAGTCGACCAACAGAAAGGCAGCCCACATGATTTTCAGACACACAGATATTTTTAGTTGGTCCATGACTCAGAACTCTTGCAATTAAGAAAGCCATTATTATTTCAACAAGAATTCAGTTGTGGACCAAATGATATTTAAAATGCAAAAAGGACTTTTAAGTGATAAGTCATGTCTTAAATTAAGATTTGAGAAGACTATTTAAAGCTATTTTGAGTAATTTAACTTTGTATAGTGAAATAAAATAGTAAAATGAGGACAGAAGAATATTGTTACCCTTATATTATGCAAGGAGATGATAACTCCAGGGGTAAAGAGGGAAATAAGTCTGAGGAGAGAGAGAGAGAGAGAGAGAGAGAGAGAGAGAGAGAGAGAGAGAGACAGAGAGAGAGAGAGAGACAGAGAGAGAGATTAGAAAGCCAAGATGTAGAAACAGAGGAAAAATGTAATGACAATCACTGAAATCTGTGGTTCACTGAACAGTTTCAATGGCTGCATCAGGGGGAAACAGCCTGGATAGTGAGGTATTGGGAAGAACAGTGTAAGTGATGGAGTTTAAGTTTAGCATCATGATACTTCTTTCTTCTACCTCTAGGAGAGATGCCCAGATGGCCATTTACATCACACATATACCACACACACACATGACACAGGAGAATTGTCTGTATTCTGTCAATCATGTTATAAATAAACGCTGATTGGCCAGGCAGGAAGTATAGGCGGGAAAACCAGACAGGAAGTAGAAATGATGCAAGGAGAACAGGAGAATTCTGGGAAGGAGGGAGTTGATTCCTCCCACTCCTGCCTAGACCACTGAAGCAGCAGGATGTGATCTGCCCCACTGAAAAAAGGTACTGAGAAAAATGGGTTAATCAAGATGTGAGAGTTAGCCAGTGAGAGGTTAGAGCTAATGGGCCAATCAGCTTATAATTTATGGAGACCTATGTGTGATTTTCTTTGGGGCTAAACAGTTGTGGGGTACCAGGTGGGACAAAAACCCCAACAACAAGCAGGCCCCATTCATGTTACAAACACACACACACACACACACACACACACACACACACACACACACACCTTTTCTTTCTTTATACCTCTTCTGTTTTCCAGACAAGAATTTTCTTTTTTTTTTCTTTTATTTTTTTTCCCTATTAGTCATTTGTATTGTATCCTAGGAATGATGGATTCTTTGTTTTCTCAAGCACAGGATGGACTTCAGAAGCGATCCCATTAACAAGATGAACACCACAGGGTTTTCGTATCTTTTATTTGATAGAACCTGATGGTAGATGGTAGCAATAACAGCCCCACTGAATCCTGGCTTCCTTATCCATGCTTTGTTTGGTGCATTCTCATCCTGACTTGCTCGTCCAGGTAACTTGGCTTTCCAATATTAACAAATGTGGTACAAGAAGCATATGCTCTGGGGACTGTTCCTTTTTACTAATTATAGAGCCTGTGACCCTATGATGAAACTTAAACCGCACTGTCAAAGGCAAATGGCCCCGATGACAATCAGCACCAGTGGCCACAAATGGGAGATTTTCAAGA